TAAGGGGAATCATAGATGGGTCCACTAGCTTGCATGCAATAGAGAAGCCGAGAAGGAGAGGTGCCATGCTTGACCTCGTGCTCACCAACAGGGAAGGGCTGGTTGGAAATGTGACACTCCAGGGAAGCCTTGAATGCAACAATCATGAGATTGTCGAATTTGAAATCCTCAGGACAGTAAGAAGAACGTGCAGTAAGCTCTGCCCTGGACCCAAAGAGTTGTGGTCAATGGCTCAATGTCCAGCTGGAGACCAGTAACAAGTGGTGTCCTTCAGGGATCAGTGTTGGGACCGTTCCTGTTCAACATCTTTGTCGCTGATATGGACAGTGGGATTGAGTGTGTCCTCAGCAAGTTTGCTGATGACACCAAGCTCTGTGGTTCAGAAGGGAAGGAATGCCATCCAGAGGGACCTTGACACGCTTGTGAGGTGGGCTGTTGCCAACCTTATGAAGTTTAACCATGACAAGTGCAAGGTCCTACACCTGGGTTGGAGCAAACCCAGGCACAGCTACAGGTTAGGCAGAGATGATGAGATTCAGAGCAGCCCTATGAAGAAGGACTTGGGGGTGCTGTTCGATGAGAAAATGAACATGAGCTGGCAGTGTGCGCTTGCAGCCCAGAAAGCCAACCATATCCTGGGCTGCATCAAAAGAAGTGTGACCAGCAGGTCAAAGGAGGTGATCCTGCCCCTCTACTCTGCTCTTGTGAGACCTCACTTGGAGTACTGTGTGCAGTCCTGGTGTCCTCAACATAAAAAGGACATGGAACTGCAGGAACAAATCCAGAGGAGGGCCATGAGAATGATCAGGGGACTGGAGCACCTCCCATATGAAGATAGGCTGAGAAAGTTGGAGCTGGTCAGCCTGGAGAAGAGAAGGCTGCGTGGAGACCTCATAGCAGTCTTCCAGTATCTGAAGGGGGACTATAGGGATGTTGGGAAGGCACTGTTCACTAGGGACTGTAATGATAGGACAAGGGGTAATGGGTTAAACTTGAACAGGGGAAGTTTAGGTTGGATATAAGGAGGAAATTCTTTCCTGTGAGGGTGGTGAGGCACTGGAATGGGTTGCCCAAGGAGGTTGTGAATGCTCCATCCCTGGCAGTGTTTAAGGCCAGGTTGGACAAGGCCTTGGGTGATGTGGTTTAGAGCGAAGTGTCCTGCCCATGGCAGGGGGGTTGGAACTTGATGATCTTAAGGTCTTTTCGAACCCTAACTATTCTATGATTCTATGTTTCTATGTTACACCAGTTGGTAACCAAAGGGCTTCTCAAGAGAAGGCCTTTTATATCTGTGATTGACTGTCCTCTCCATCATACATGAGAAGATTACAGCACATGTATAGAAGGAGGAAGGCAGATGGCCATTCCAGCCTTTGGCATAGAACAGGTAGGTGTACTAGATTGCAGTGGGCTTAAATTAGACTTTTAGAGAACAGTAAATGTCCTGCTAATATTTTATTCTTAGTAAAAAAACATATGAAGGAACTTGGCTCCCAGAAAGGAATGCACCACCAAGTAAAAATGGCAATCCTAAAATTATCTTTTCTTGAGAAAAATCTAAGACATGCGTTACCATCACCTTTTTAAAAGAGTGGTATTGATTACAGGGAAAACCAACCAAATGCCAGTGTACAGAAACTTGTAGAAGAAAATTCAATATAACCTCAAATTTCAATTGAAAAAAAATTTCCACCTGAAATATGCGTGGAAAATAACACAACAAAGTTCTTTGAAAATCTACACGAAAACTTTGGATATGACAGATATCTGTAAATCATATCTATGTGCAGAGAGCCAGATATTGAGTATCTTATAAAATTCTACGTTTTTGTTCCTTTTCTGGAAAAAAAAATCATCAAAGTCCAGGTTAAAGATGACATACAGTTTTCTTATAACTCTGTGATTGGAACTCAGCAGTTTTTCAGCGTACAGCATTTTTCAGCATACAGCATTTTTTTCAGCCACCAGAAATTAGAAGAAAGCCAGAGATATTACAAAACCAAGAATAGTACAGCCATGAAAATTTCTAAAATGTGTGTAAGGGGTCTGAAGGACACTTACCTTCCCAAGGCTGTCCAGCCCCATGTAATCCTCTCTTATGGCTGCAGACTGTGGTGCCTCAAGTGTATTTTATACAATTCACTGTATTTCACTTTATCCCAAATGGAACTTATCCTGTGTGTTTACAGTGGGTTTTAAGTCCTCAGGACTTTATTAGCTACTTCTCTGCCCTTCTAGTTGCCTTTCAACATGAATTCTGGTGTTAAAATTTTGCTCCTTATTACTAATAGCCTTAGAATAAACTAGCAAACTGAGTTAACCTTTGCATGTATCATGCAACAATAAAAGACAGCAAGTCACCAGTCAGAGAGGCTAGTCAGGCTTACAGAAATCATTAGGAATGGGGAAAAAAAGTCATGTTTTGGTGCATTTGCCACAATGGAGACTGTGTGAATGAGTGCAGTTAATAATAAATACTGTTGCAAAAACATAGGAAGTGAAGTTTAGGACATTTGGGAATTGGAAAGTGGCAATTAGAAAATGAAAATTAAAAAAAAAATAGATGAGAGGAAGAGTTTATCAGGGTTTTTGCCTAAGCCAAGGCAACCATATGCTGCACCAGCTAAAAAATCAAAGTGATTTTCAATGTCAGCCTCAGGCAGTGGGAGGTCTAGGCATCTCTATAGGTGCAACTAAATGGCTGATGATGGGGAACAGTAGCTTTAGCTCATCTGAGAAATCTGTGCTTACATAAGGTAGCAAAAGCATAGATAAGAGAGGGGAAGAGAGTGGAGAGACCTACATTAGAGAAGGCACAATTTCCTGGCACATTTCAGGCAACAGAAGGTATTTCTGGATATTTTTGCTGCAAGCAAACCAAAAGCAGAATTTTTTAGCATCTTTAGTAACCACTAATTGGAATTTAGTCCTCCATTTGGTGCACTATTTCCTTGCCTTGACTTCTTCGATTAATTTTCATCCATCTTTGATTTTTCTTATAGAGGAAGATATAAACTCTTACAAATAAATCTTCTGCAGATAGTGAATGTGACTGAATAAAGCGAAGATCAAGAGGATGCATTTTTGCCATGACATCTACTGCTGTTTTTCTAAAGGAGAATAAACAGAAAAGCATTTCTTTTAAAACATGCATGACACTGCATACTCGTCTGTATCTCATTTAGTCAATGCAACTCCCAGTCAAAAGCCACAATGCATGACACACCTTGACGAGAGTTTCCCATGAAATAAAACTGCTGTTATCATTTTGTCTGCTACTGAAGAAATATTTAAGAAATATGACAGCAAGATGGAGGGAAAGCAACAGAATGAGAGGATGATTGCATGTATCATGTTCCACTGTGTAAATAGCATTATTTGTTATTATTTTGCTCATTTCTCTCTGATCAAGTCTTTAAAACAATTTCACAAATAAACATACATTCACTGTTGGGAAAATTATATTCTGAACTTGCCACAGAAACACACTTGAAAATATAACAGATGTTTGCCATCTATAAATAATCTAACTGTAAGTAGTATTACTAGGCATCTCTACAGGGGAGGCAACAGTAGTGCACCTAAATAGTGAATTTGTAGATGAACCTCTGTGGGTGACTATAATGAACTCTTCTCTATATTTGTATGACATTAACAAGATCATCTCTACATGTCTACTCATATCACATTTTATCACATTTTACCACTCCTTATCACAAAATTGAAAATACTACCTCATTAATTCCATACAGCAACTTTTGTAGGTAGCTAGTTGTCTCCTGGATTATCTTTCAAAACATCACCATGTGAGCTGCATAGCTGAAACTGCAACAGGATCCCTCTTCACATTTTAGAGCCAGAAAACTTCCAAAACTGTTAGCATCTACAGGGAGTATTAAATGACTAATACTGGCTTGTGAAGTACTGGGAAAAGACAGTTTAGGAGAGAGAATGGCAATAAACTGAAGCTGCACTGTGAAGTTAAAGACCTCCTAGCCAAGAATGAATTAATTTCTAGTGCCTGCAGGGAAGCCCAGCATGCCATCTGGCAGCAGGATACAAGCAGTGTGCTTGTGTTGCAAACACACTGCTCAGGACCACTGCAGAATCAGCCATCAGGCAGAGACCCAAAGGGCTTATTTAGTCTACTCTCCTGCTCCAATGCAGTATCAGTGCTCTTTATGACTTTCCTGGCAAATGTCTATCACGTTGTGAAAATTCTTCAAACAAAAACCTATTCCAGTGCCTCAGTATCCTTACTAGAGTCCACCTTTCCTTGGACATAAAATGGTTCTCTCCCCTGTACACTAGCTTTTTGAAAACTTACCATGCTTCCAGTTAGTTTTCTCTCTCCTTTTTTTTTTTTTTTTTCTTTCTTAAGAATCCAGTGCACTCAGTATTTTCTTGGACGTTAGGTTTTTGAGACCTTGAGCTAGTCTTGCTGAGCCTCTGTCCTGTTGTTGCATTGTGGAGGGCCAGGTGAAGGAAATTGTTACTTTCAGCACCCACAGTGTAGCAGGACTTCATAAAGAATTGTCCTCTAACTTACAATTAGGGGATCATGCACGTTCTGTAGGAATTTTACAGCCACGAAAAGACAAGAACAGTAAATGGCAAGATACTGTTATACAATCTAATTCTGTACAGGAAATATCCAACGTAAAATAGAGAGGGAATGCACTTCATCACGTGAAATAATATATGGGGGGTACACAGAACCCTTGGACATTAGCATACCTGCCTTGAATATATATATCTTTTTCTTCCTGTTCTCAGAGACTGTCACAGGCAAGAGGATAAGTTTCTAAATAAACAAATACAGCTAAACCAAAACTGGAATCTGTATATTTCTATGCACAGAGCGAGACATTTTGAATAATAATTTTTAGAGTTTATATTTTCATTTCATCCTTCTCTTTTTTTTTCTCAGCAGGAAATGCACATTGAGATACTTAAGTAATATCCAATTAGTTATCGAGTGTTTAAAGCTTCTTACTTACCCACTGGAGACATTTCTGGGACACTGGCAACATAAGGCCCATCCGGAAACTTTGGCTCATTATCATTAATGTCCTGCACTTTGATGATGAATTCTGATTCTGGCTCTAGTGGTTTCTTGGTGTCAACATCCACAGCCTGTGCCCGGAGTGTGTAGAAAGGTTTTTCTTCTCGATCTAGGCTCCTTATGGCATGAATATCTCCTGTGGTCTCATCAATGGTAAAAACAGTGCCAGCACCATCTCCTGAAAGGGTATATTTTACAGTGCCCACTCCCTTGTCCAAATCAGAATGAAGCTTGAGAACACAAAAACAAAAAACAGAACAAAACAAAAAATAATAATAAAAAAAAAAACAACAAAGAAAAAAGAGGAAAAGAACATTAATGGCTTTTCTAGGTGGGAAGAAAATTATTTGGGTTTGTTTGGTTTTTTTTCCTCATGTAATAAAAGGTGCAATTTCATAAGTAGTCCTTAACTACCTCTAAGTGCATGAAAACATTTGGGTAGCATGCTATCTAACATTTTTACACCCATCTAATACCCAGCACACAGAGCATTTCAAAATCTTGCCTAGTTTCTCCCATGAATACTGTTCATTAATAAAACTGCAGTGAAGCCGGGCTTTGGATTTGTTATAAAATGATATTTAAGACCTAGGATGGAAAACCACCAATAACCACATCAAACAAACATGAGGTGACATGAGAGACTGTCAAAAGCTTTCACAGGTTTTTGGCTTTCAATAAAGTAGAAGGGAAGTATCCAATTTTCATTTCACAGACAAGAGCTTAACAGAATCCTAAACTCAAATTCAAAGTAAAACCTGGTTTAAAAAAGACAATATACACTTCTTAATTACAGCAAATGCTAAACAGAACAAAAAATACTACTTCTCACACAAATATTTGATTCTGTCCTTTGTTTCTGTCCTTTCAGAGATGGTTACATGACAGACAATGTGAAGCTAGTATTCATCTTCCTCATTGAAAGAATACAGAACTCAGCTATTTCTGCCTTACCTCAATTATTTCTGCCTCAAATACCAATATATACGTCTTTCAGGCTATTAGTATTTTAAATCTCTATTTCTAATTTGAAAAAAAAATACTTGAATATAATTTCTTGTATGATTTTCATTTGATCAGTGACTACACCATTATAACGTGGCCTTAAACACTATTTCAAACACAGGATTTTTTTAAATCAAAATACAGTATGATGAACTTCTTTCTCAGGTGCCTTTATCTCTTTCATGCTCATCTTTTAAATATATCTGACAGTTTTGAATAGATACTCAAGGTTACATCACTGATGCTGAAAGAGTTTTTAAAATATTTGCCCACTTGTTCCACTTACTCAGTGAGGACCAGAGAGATGTCCTATAACGGACAGAGGTTGTAATGCAGTTTTTGAGATTGAATTTCCTTAAGCAGTACAGTAAAGTGATTATGGATATAGGCTTTATTTACATGATGTACTGCCCAAGGTGAAACAGAGGAAACATAGGACAGGAAAAGAGATTATGTAGAAAATGAATTACTGAGAAACTAAATGGTTTTGGTAATGGGGCAAGAAGCTAAGCTCAGAGAAAGAGGTAAAGGCAATTATTAACATTTATAGCTATTGCCTTGAAATCGGAAATAGATCTTTGTGACTGTGGAAGAGGTCACAGCATATGGGACAGGGCGAACATGAATGTAGTCTCTTCTTTGTCTACTTTGTCTCAGTGAATGCACTAGATTCTGATCTTTCATCTAGCTGCCCCCTGCATGTGATTTGAAATTACCTCTCCAGTTCAAAGTACGGCATTTTGCTTCTCAGGTATTAAATATTTCCTTGCATGCAAAATGAAAAGATAATGTTTCCTAAGATAATCAATGTGTATTTCTCCCTCTTTGTCTCACAAGCTTCCTGCTGTTTCATTATACCTTGCTCAGTTAAAATAGTATTTTCCTTCCATCATCATATAGAAGCATACAGACCTGCATGAAGTGGAAAAAAAATTAAAATTAAAATTGTGATGATAAGAAAGTTCAAAGAAAAAATCTTAGAGATTTATAGGGGGAGACACAACATTTTTTTGCTAGCATCCCTGTATTACACAAAATATGTTGGGCTTTATTGTGAAGTCTACTTTGTTCCATGCTCCTGGAAGGAAGAATATCACAGAGCGAAACAATGTAGTTTTGAAGCAGGAATTTGTAAACAGGGAAGCTTGCCAACAATATTGTCTGTACTGCCATCTCCTGTCATCCAATTTGGCAGTAAAGCTGAGACGGCTGAGTGTCTCTCTGCCAGCTGAAACTTTTATGTTCAACTAGTGAAAACTCAGACTGCATTGCATGTGTTACCTGAGCACTTGGATTATACTAGAGAGAAATAATTATAGTTGTTTGCCCTATTTGAGGAAAAAGGTAAAAAGTATAACAAGAAAGCAGCAAAACAAGGGATCCAAACAGAAGGGGAGATTGAAATACAAAGATAAGCACAAGCATAGCTTTTTTTCAACTGTATTTGAGCAAAAAAGCTTCATAACTGGCAGCATTATCAATTCCACAGTTATAAATGTATTTACTGTGCTTCACAAATATCACTCAGCTAGTATAACCTAGGAACCATTCCATTAATTTAAGCAGAGTTATATTGTTTTGCATTAGTAGGGATCTGTCACATTATACTAATTCGTCAAATCCTGCTAATCTGCTGATTTCGACAGAGGCTTCTTAGATGCAGTTGCTGGACAAAGGGCAAATGCATGCTTGTTTATAACCCACATTGAGCCTTGTAATTCGTGGGACAACTCAACATTACAAAGTGTCTAATTACTGTAGGGTAACAGCTGACTGATTTAATTTAAAAGAACAAAATTTTTCAATAAAAGGCACACAATACTGATATTCAGATGCAAGGATGGAGAGTGAGAACCTAGCATTAGTTGGACTTGCACAACACTAGAAAATTATCCTTTCAGTTTTACAGAAGGCAGTTTCGACTAAAGAATAAGTGCTTTCCAGTGAGTCTCTGATTTATTTGGTACGAGCTTCATTGTACTGGAAGAAAACCCTTTTTCTTTCTTTTGTGCTGGAAAACATACATAAGATTCGTGAGAGAATAGTTTTAATGACCAAGTATCCTGCAATAGTTTTGGGTTTGTGGCCTATTTCTCCTTCTTGCTTGTGCCTATTTTCTAATCCTTGCTCCTCTGTGATTTGAGCAAAACTACAGGGCAATAGAAGAGGTGCTCAAATATTACCTCCCCCGCAGTGTGTTTACATTTCAGAATTACTTGAATTTACGGCAAGAGAGTGGTATAAATGATTGTATTCACATGGGTTTTTTTCTTACTATTTTCTCTGGAAATCCTAAATATTAACAATTCCAGAAAGGTTTGGAAATGCAATGTATTAATTTCTACTTTTTGCTAAAATCTGCAGTTATTCTTACTACTGACGTAACACAGAGTTTACTGTCAGATCTTTAGGCAAATATGCCCCAAGTGTAAAGTTAATGATTTCTTGCAGCAAACTCTTTTTGTTCAGGAAATTACAAGTATTATTTTATGATGGCAGATAAAGACATATCATCCCATAATTCTTGCTAATGTGTGCAAACAATAACACATATGGCAAAGGAAATGAGCGATAAAAAAATAAAAGCATGAATAATAAGATGGAGACTATTGTGAAAAAAATTGCATAAATTTATGTAGAAATTATGGAAATGTTTTTGAATCATATACAATACCATATGTCGGACTGAGAAAGTCTACAAGTCCATGTCATCTAGCAATCTGCTTCAGTCTGTAACTAGTTGAAAGCTAGTTTGCTTCAGAGGGGATGAAAAAGTTGGTAACAACTCACTACAAGTACATCTGGAAGAAATGATTCATTTCTTCAGGCTCTTATGCCCAATTCCTAACAAACAGTATGATTATTCTTGTTTTAACAGTAAGTTAAGACCTTAATGCTTCAATAACTCAGTGTAATAAACTCCATGTCACTTCAAGAATTCATACATTTGTACAAATGACTTGATGTTACATATGAAGCCACAAGAAAGATCAAGAAATGCATTAGTTAATGTGCTTCAAGAATTGCTGTATACTCCTAGCTAAATTCAGCATGGCAGTAGTATGGATCAAAAGTATTTGTTCCTCAGTGCTGATCTGCTCCTCAGTATGCTGTGCAACTCATCCTCAACTGTTTATCTTTTCTTAAACATGTAAACAACTTGCATTAAACTTACAACAATTTGGAAAGTAAAATTTGTAAATTCACAGACATAGGTAAAGAAATCAGAAGAACAAATTGTGAGATAGTCTAGCCTTAAGACAAAGTAATCACTATACCCTCACAGAGGATGCAAGAACAAGGAATATGACATTCACTAAGATTGCTGTGATGTTAATTTCAAAGCAATACAGACCTTGAAAAGTTGTTTTATGAACTGACTGATTTCCTTTCTGAATTTCTCATATACATACCAAAAAAAAAAAACAACAAAAAAAGGAGAAAGTAAAAAAGTTGTAAACATCAAGGAATGTGTAACATCCCTAAATTAATATATTCACCCTGTGATATATTCTGATATTCTAGGTCTTATTTCACTGCCAATTTCAAAAGCTGAAAAAAACTCCACAGTTCAATTTATTTACTGGTAGTAGATAAATTTAAATGTTGTACTGCAGTGCATAGCTGGACTGAAAACAAGCCAACCATATCCTAGGCTGCAGCAAAAGGAGCGTGACCAGAAGGTCGAAGGACGTGATCCTGCCCATCTACTCTGCTCTCTTGAGACCTGACCTGAAGTATTGTGTGCAGTTCTGGTGTCCTCAGCATAAGAAGGACATGGAACTGCAGGAACAAGTCCAGAGGAGGGCCATGAGAGTGATCAGGGGACTGGAGCACCTCCCATATGAAGATAGGCTGAGAAAGTTGGGTCTGTTCAGCCTGGAGAAGAGAAGGCTGTGTGGAGACCTCATAGCAGCCTTCCCGTATCTGAAGGGAGCCTATAGGAATGTTGAGGAGGCACTGTTCATTAGGGACTATAGCAATAGGACAAAGGGTAATGGGTTAAAACTTAAACAGGGGAAGTCTAGATTGGCTATAAGGAGGAAATTCTTTCCTGTGAGGGTGGTGAGGCACTGGAATAGGTTACCCAGGGAGGTTGTGAATGCTCCATCCCTGGCAGTGTTTAAGGCCACGTTGGATGAGGCCTTGGGTGATATGGTTTAGAGCGAGGTGTCCCTGTCCATGGCAGGGGTGTTGGAACTTGATGATCTTAAGGTCCTTTCCA